GTACTACAGTGTCTCCAGCGGGTCGAGCGTTTCCGTGTGGACGGAAGACTTTTTTGCAAACGACTACGGTTCGTTTTCGTCTCGTCTCCGTGTGGACGGGCCTAATACAACTTTATGATTGGATTTAAAATATTTGAAATGCAGCTTAATATTTGTTTAAATTTCTTGTTTGGTGAATCCAACTGTGATGGTGCAGCGCTCGATTGCTCCTCCTTAGTAACATGCTTTAAAAGTGGCTTTAATGTTGAAAAAGCTCTTCATTTTGCTCACACTGCCTGTTACGCAGCACACAGTCTGTTCTGATTGGTCGACCTGCTTAGAGATGTCCCGCCCCCTTAGCCTATCACGCACAATGTGTTGGAGCGCTAGCCAATAGGAGTGTTCCATCTGGATGAAGACCACAGTCTTCCTCACTTCACTTCAGGTTGAGGTACTGCGGCAGCACGTCGTCCCAGAACTCCTCTTCCTCGCCTGCCGCCTGACCTTTGACCCCCGACCTCTGTCTGCTCCTGGGTTTACCTCTCTGGACTCCAGCTGACTTTGTCTTTTGGACAACCTCTTCCTCCTCCTCTTCTTTTTCTCCCTCCTCCTCCTCCTCTTCCTCTGTCTCACTTCCTTCTCCCTCCTCTTCCTCTTCCTCTCCTCCCTCTGCCTTACTTCCTTCATCACTTTCTTCTCCCTCCTCTTCCTCTCCTCCCTTTGTCTCACTTCCTTCTCCCTCCTCTTCTCCCTCTGTCTCACTTCCTTCTCCCTCCTCTTCCTCTCCTCCCTCTGTCTCACTTCCTTCATCACTTCCTTCTCCCTCCTCTGTCTCACTTCCTTCATCACTTCCTTCTTCCTCCTCACTTTCAGACTCTCTTCCTGCGCTCTCTGTCTCATTACTCGAACCTTCCTCTTCCTCCTCTTCATCACTTCCTATGCTCTCTTTTGATTCAGTCTCATCTTCACTTTCACTTCCTGCCGTGCCACTTGCTTCCTCCTCTTCCTCCTCCTCAGCACTGCTCTTATCTTCCTCTTCATCATCCTCTGTTTGAAGAGTGTTGCTGTCTTCTTCTTCTACGCTGTGAATGACTTCCTCTTCCTCATCCTCACTCACCTCCTCTCCTTCATCAGTTTCCTCCTCTGGTTGAAGAGTGTTGCTGTCCTCTTCATCATCTTCATCATCTTCTGTCGCCTTCTCCACGCTGTGACTGACTTCCTCTCCTTCATCTTCATCATCTTCTGTCGCCTTCTCCACGCTGTGACTGACTTCCTCTCCTTCTTCATCTTCATCATCTTCATCATCTTTGGTCACCTTCTCCACGCTGTGACTAAGTTCTTCTTCCTCCTCGTTCTCGCTGACTTCTGCACTTCTACTCTGCTCCCCCTCTTCCTCTCTCTCCTCCTGACTTGTTTCCTTGCTTCCTTCAGGACTCTGAGGGATGATGTTGATGCTCACGGCTGATTTGTGTGTATAGTCTTCAGCGTGAGACTCAGACTGCGTCCTCTCCTCTCTGGACGCCACCTGGTGCATCAGCAGCGCCCCCACTGCGACGGAGGCGGCTCCAGCGACGAGGCCCAGCTTTGACGCCTTTGTCGGAGTTCCCTCCCCAACTTCCGCCTTTATCTCCGCCTCCTTTTGGTTTTTCTCGTTCTTAGATTTCTTCGATAACTCTTTAGATTTGGACCTGACCTCCGATAGACCCTCCTCCTCATTCAGATGAAGTGTGTGTGGAGAGCTGACACTCTGCACCGCGATGGGTTTGCTTTGGACGGCTTTAACTTCTCGTTGAATCTTCCTGATGTCAGGGCTCTTCCTGGCGACCTCCATCAGCGTGTTTGCCCCCGGAGTCGGTCGGAGACGCTGTTTGGATGCCGCCTTCCTAATGTCCGCGATGTTCTTGTTTTTACCGGGTCTCTGCAGCTCCTCCATGGCCAGGACCAGGTTCTCCTGGTTCTGACTGAGAGTAGTCCCCGGGTTCCTCAGCAGCTCCGTGGGTAACGCCCGGCGAGGAGAAACCGCTTTGCTCTCACGAGAAGAGAAACGACTCATCTTAATCTGATCTTTAGAGCTCTTACCCTTCCGCTATCCGTCAGAAAGCAGCGTAGAGAAAGAGGCATGCGTTAGAGAGGAAGAGAGACATGCAGGAAACAGAGAGACAGAGGAAAGGCAGAGAGGAGAAGTACACATCCTTCACTCAAGCAGAACTAAAGAACTTTGAAATGTACTTCAGTAAAAAGTACCCATAACTAGCAGCTGT